ACATACATACATACATACAATACATGTATATGTAGAGGTATACACTATCGGCATTTGCATGTATACATAAAGGTGCACATATGCGTACCGAAACATGTGACACTTCTACAAACAGAGAGAAAAGCCGCGGCATGAATGCAGAAAACCCGCAGGCATGCATGCATTAATATGTGTATGTGTATGTGTACGTGTATATATATATATATATATGTATTTATATTTATATTTCTACATATATATATATAGATGCGTGTATATATATATATATATGCGTGTATATATATATACATATATATATAGTGTACATATACATGTATGCATAGAAAAACAGGCGTGCGTGCGAAGGTAGCGAAAGTTGAAGCAGACGGAGATGGGGAGGCATCACTTCAAGTTCTGGACAGACATCGACACCTGGATATATGCATGCATAAATACACTGATGCCAGCAGCATACATTTCAAACAGCATACATTTAAATATGTATATACATACGTAAGATACAGATACATGCACTCGTGCACACATGTACATACATACATACATACATACATACATACATACATACATACACACATACATACGCATATGTATGTACGTATTTATGTATCCATGAATATGTACATTGAGCTATGGGAGTGCATGTAGCCCTGCAAGCTGAAGTCTTTCCACAGCTTTGTCAATCTGCCAGTGGACGTGGTAGCAGGTCCCGTCGCAGTATCACATCTTTGCTGGAAGCAAAGTTTCAGGCCGTTAGAGCCACACTCCGCCGAAGGGCAGAAAGCATTAAACTCGGACAGACCTGGCCTGGATGCTTGGACATAATTTGGGCAGGTTGCAATGGAGGCGGTGCGCCTCCTTGAGGTCAAACGTGGCTTTCCTGGGCCATCGAAGCGGAATTCTCCGCTTATGCACTCCTTCGTGTTGAGGTCTTGGAGGATACGGGAGGTACTCACCTGCTGTCTCCACTGAGAAACTCAGAAACACGTTCACTCTCTGACAGCACATGCTGCTGCCACATAGTTTGGTGAAAACTTGTGGCTCTCTACACTCGAAAAGCATATAGAATCATTGTCGAAAGGCAGATCGGCATTCACAAACCCCCAACCCTGCTTCGGCCCTGAGCTGCACCGGGCCCTGACATGCCATTTGAACGTTGCCCCAAGTACCCGGCAGCCTGACTTCTTGCACTGCCCCAACTGTGACTTCAGGGAGAGTTGCTGCTTTGGCAGCAAAGCTACTGCAGAGAGGTTCACTGAAAGTTGAGCAAGCCAACTCCGAAACCTTGCAGCACCATGATACTGTGATGGGAAATGGGACGGCTGATAGAACCAGAACGGAGGGGATCGGATCTGAGGCCGAGAATTTCCGAAGCAGAACTGCTGTAGCTTGGAGCCAGTGCGAGGAGTTGAACCGCCTCAAGCCTCAAGCTCAAGCGCCTTGCAGCATGAAGCCAAGAGGCTGCAGCTGCTCCCGCAATATCGCTTCCAACTTGCGACTGGTAGTGTCGCAAACATGCCTTGCAAAGGCTCGCTCGGAGATTGCTGACCCTCCGCTGCTCCGAACACGGGTACAGCTGCGGTCAGGATACTGGAGCCGATGGCCGGTAAACTCCGAGAAGGTCATGCCATCCATGTCGATGCCCATGGCGAGGAGACCTCGAAGGCTGTTGTCGTTGCTCTTCACTCAGGCTTTCCTCCCTCCTCCACAAAGCCGCCTTAGTGGACTTCATTCTGGCACTCTGTGCCGGAAAGCTTCATGGTATGGCGATGTTCACTACAGGTCCGACCTTGCACATGACTCTGTGCCGAAGCATCTCGCGCAAAGCGAGCGCTCTAACCAAACCAGGCTGAAGGATTTCTATTGTCAGCCCGAGTGATGGCCATGTCTGTTGTGAAAGCTGTGCATCTCAAACACAACAAACAGGGCGAGCAAGCCGCTGCAGGATGCCCAGCAAATAGAAACTACTAAGCACCAGCCCCGCTCATGTCGAGTCATTCAGGAATGTCGATGTGTGTTCTACATCTCCTTCACGAGGAAGTTTTTTCCGAGGAAATGCAAGTGCCTGATTCGTTACAGCCAGAAGCCTATCGTATCAATTGAATCTCAGGTGACCCTGGCACTTCCCCGGCCTTTCCGAGACGCCGCAAGGCGGCCAGCGTCGCGCTATCAGGCTTTCGGGGTGTCCTTCAGACCCTGAGCTGGGGGAGATAGGGATTGGGCCTCTGCCCCACAGGGCTCCCAACTCTCCACCTTCCTCACCCTGAGTCTGCAACAGATCTCTGAGACCCTAAGACCCTAAGTAAAATGTCAAAGCTTGCATGGTATGACGGTTCGTACGCACCCGGCTGAGTTCGTGCGAGTGCTTGACAGTTGCCCTTCCCGGGCCCTGTAATGCTGACATTGCACATTCCGTCATTCCGCCCACGCCCTGTCTTAAGGCCCACATACTAGACACTTGATCATATACACTTGGCTATCAAGCCTGAAAACCACCCGTTTGCCCCCGTGGGAAGGGCCGACTGAGCCGTTGCAGCTGCGATTGGCAAGAAATGAAGTTCAGAATCGGCATGGAACGCAGTGCCGGCAGACGACAGAGAAGACGTACAGAACAGCTTAGCTGACAAGTGGACTGCAAGCGTGCAACCATGCCAGTATCAGAAAACTGGATGGTCACAGATGGTAGCGTCTGCAATTTGCCCAAAGCTACTGGATCCATTAGTCTCGCACATCTCGGCACAAGCAAACCAAGCAGAGGAAGCGAACACACTACCACCTGGCTACTGATCAATAAGAGTGTCTGAAGCCATCGGAAGCGAAATCAAAAAAGAGACACAGCCGGCTGCACCAACGCAGGACACGCAGGACGGCTCGGAGAGGTACATGTTCAGATCCCCGTGGACCGAGTATCTCAACCTGAGATGGGGCACTAGGCAAGGATGCCTGGGCAGCCTGGGGGGCAATAGGAGAATGGCTAACGGCTGGAAGTCTTGGGCAAGCTTGGGATATATGCTCTAACTAATGTTTACACACACTAACGTTTACACACACACACACGCAGGTAAGCATCCACGGCTGGGCAACTGCAATCTTCAGCAAGACCTGGACAGCTTGAGGACAGCACTCCGGGCAAGTCAAATCTATGCCCGAGCGGTGGAGTAGTTCACACACCTGTACAGGTCAGTCTGTGAGTGAGCCGCGCATTTTGTCCTGCAGCATCATCTGAAAAACACAGGCTTTGCACTTCCTGTTTGAACTCCATTTATGACGCCAGCTGTGAAGAGATGGGCACGTGCTCCATGCACGACTTGTCGAAATCATCAAATCAAAGAACGGAGAAGGCAACGAACTGAACAATTCTTCATGTGCTAAACTTCTCGTTCCACTTATCAGATTCACTTCAAGGCAGAAGCATTATTAGTAGTGGCTGCGCAGAGCATGCACAGGCTGCTCACAGGGCCACCTCGCCGAGAAGCTGGAACTCCGCACAGAGGCTCCTGCATCAAAGCCGTGCAGCTCTTTGTGTGCGGCAACACCCACTCTGAATCCACGCAGGGCCAGCGCTCCCAGCAACAAAAGCGCGTGGCCTGTCAACCCACTTGCTGATGGGCAGCTGCACGGCCTCTGGGCTCGGTGAAAAAACATCAAACACAAAACATGTAGGAAGGCAAGCAAGCACCAAACAGAAGTAAGAGCGAAGCGGAAGCATTTGCAGGCAAACAACAAACGACGATCCGTAATGCAGGCTGCTGCAGCAGCAACTGCAGACAGGTGCGGGTTCGACGTTTGAGGGCGAATAAAGCATGCATACACAAGTCTTGAAAGACACCGTGGCAGGTCTCGACACGATAGCTAGAAGAAAAGCAACGGCAACGGCAACCCAAGAAGTAGAAGGAATAATGCTGGTGGGGGTAGTAGTTTTGGCAGACATACAAGTCATGGCACTCGTAGACTTACCGCAGCAGCTATAGTGACGGTATGAGAAAGAGTATGACAAAAACAGATGATAGTAGTGCCAATTTTTGCATGGTGCAAGCACTTGCTTTAATTTAACAGAAGCAATAGAGAAACTGTGTTCATAGTAACGGTAGTAGCAAGATTTCTAAATGACAAAGCAAAAACACTACACACGGTGGGACGAGCTCCACTCCGTCTGCCGAATGACAGTCATTGCAACAGGAAAATAACAAGACTACACTTGCTGGCAAGACGCGAAGGTATGGTCAGTATTTTACCTAGTATGGACCACTAGCAGAAATGTGATGTCCACATCTTGAGTACTCCCAGCCCACATTGCAATCCATGCGCCAGGAGATCTAGAGAACGGACCCGGACAAATGGCAACAGCATGCAACAGCGCAAACTCGTTTAACGACCGGCAGAATTGCAAAATCCACCTTTGGCTGCAAACATGCGATGGTGAACGGGGTCTCGGCGCAAAGCCACGGCCGGAATGTAAACCTCAAGCTTACTCACGTGAGCTTGAGCTTTGGCTAAGCCCCAACTCATATCTAACACTCTAAGAGCTTCAGGCGCAGAAACACATGTATCCAAGCGTGCCCATCGATGCCATTTAGGTGCGCGAAGCCTCAACGCTTCCAGCACCTGCTCCGGAAAGCTTGAAGCTCGACTGGTCCGAGTCTCAGGCTCTGGATCGGCATGGAGGCCGTTCAGCTGGAATAGGGTTCCTACCACGAGAGTCAAAGTCCAAGCAGTGGAGAATTGCAGCAAGTGGCAGGGAAGAGCGAGACTCAGTGACTCAGTAGTCATGCCATCGAAAAATGCATCTCCAGAGGTTGAATTGTTGGGACGGTTGCCTTTGCAGCCCTCCGTGATGGACGTCACACCGGGCCTTCCAAGAGGCTCTTCCCCGGCAGGAATGTGCTCGCAAAGGAGAATTCGGCCTTCGCAAGTCGTGCGACCGCTATTCGGGCACACGGCCCGGCACACTTCTCCTGAAGTTGTAAAAAGACTGGATGCCCTTCGTCGTCTACTGATAGGCTTTGCAGCTTACGAGTTAAATTTCTTAGGGATCACACATGGGACACTAAAAAAGCATTGACCTGTTGCTGAGAATCCTCTAGACTCCAGTCGCAGTCCCGATATAATCGGTTGCGGTCCCAGTAACCAGTACTCTGCCGCTGAACTTGATGCTGCCCAGGCACAAAGGCATAGATGCGACGATGCGCCGTCTGTGCCTTCGAAGATATGCCGGGAAAATAGACGAAAGAGTTGCAATCACAGGCATCACACAGTGACGCCAACCGAAAGCAAGACAAGCACAGGCAGCCCTGCATATATCTTAAAGCGATTACGAACAGTAGCACCGAGGATATAACAAAGTATGTAGTAGCCTGCGGAAGAAAAGCTGCATAGGAGGGCTCTGAACACAAACACAACAGCAGGATCTCAGCCATGATCGAGTCGAAGCTGATTAGGACCAAGCAAACAAACCTGCTGAACTCTGAAGACTAGATCTCTGAGCCCCTGAAATCCCAAATGCGATTTTTCTGAAATCTTGAACTGCAACACATAGGCACCTTCCAGTCGGAGGAAACTGTGCCAACACCTGAATCCAAAAGCTCAGGCTTCACGGATTCGAGTTGGTCGGCTTGCGGGGCGTCACCACTTCTCCATCCCGAACCCGAAAACACCTCTCATCCTTCGTCCTGGCTCGCTCTTGACGCGGGTCTCCCTTTATGCCCTCCAGCGTTGTACATTTCGACGCGTTGTCGACTTAAAGTTCGGTCACGGTTCCGAATCAAGATAGGCAGGTAGATAGGCAGCTAGAAATAGATACAGATAAGGTAGATAGATACCGTAGATTGGTAGAGACAAGATAGATACAACGCTGCGCACGCCACTATTTTAGGATCCGATCCACAGTTTTGTGTTGGAGGAAAAACCCAACAAACTCAGCGATTCTGTATGCAACACCCAACCACATGATGACAAATGGATCATCATCGATGGTTCCGAGTAGGCCTGCCCGAAGGGCGGCTGGATAGCAGCCATGAATGTACCACAAGCGGGCAAAGGACTCATTACGCTCGGTTCAGATGTGTGTATACATACAAAATACCATGGCAAGATTAACAACATGTTATTCGACATTTCATCGCCCTGACAGGTCTAACTGACTTAGTCCACTTACTTAGCTGCTCCATCTGCACTTGCCTAAGTCTCTTATGTGTCAAAGTCCATTAACTGGACTTGACTAACCGTGACTAACCGCTTAACCTCGGAAATAACTAATATAACTCCAGTATCTGGATATTAACCCCCATGATCCTTCAAGTATCCAATGCGTCTTCGCAATGCGTCTGCGCCACCCAATGCGTCGTTGCAATGTGTCTGCGCCACCCAATGCGTCTTCACAATGTGTCTGCTCCTCCCAATGCCTCTGCGCTTGCAATGCGTCATCACCCACTGCGTCTTCAGAATGCGTCTGCGCCTGCTAATGCATCTGCCCCTATTAGGCCTCTTTTTTAACTTCTGCATCTTCATAATGCGAAGGCGTCTTCGGGTCGTTTGACACACTCCGCCAGGACACCGCAATGGGTAGATAGATAGATAGACAGGCCTGTGAACCAATATGTGGGTTTGTATGTAGGTGTATATATATATAGATAGATAGATAGATAGATAGATAGATAGATAGATAGATACATGTTTATATTCATATATCTATATATATACACATATATATATATAGTTATTTATTTATTTATATGTATATGCATATAGACATTGATATTGATATTGTTATTGATATTGATATTGATGTAGACGTATTTTAATTTATCCCACAAGACGCAGAGATAGGTGCAGAACACACCTGCGCTCCGAGAGGGGCCCGAAGCTGGAGCTACTTCCCCAAACTTTTTGCGGAAGCGGTGGTCAGCTCACGAGAGCATGACATTGAGGGATCAAGGCATTAGGCCATTCAGCTCTGATTGTTATTTTCCTTCAACTCCTGAGCTCAGTCGTGAACAAAGGAGCGCGGAGTACTCCAGCGCTTGTTGCGGTCCCCTTCCACGAGAAATCACTGCTGTAGCCGGGGTCAGAGGAGCTGTTGGACCAGGCGGCCCAGACTCTGCAGGATCTCTGAAGCACCTTGGTCGAAGTGGTGCCAGTGTCTCGTGCGGATCGAGTCGGACGGTCTGGCTAGTGGCCTGGAGCCTCTAAGACACTCGGGCTTGGGGATCGTTTTGGTGTTCGAGCTCCTCAAACTCATCAGCCAATCCACAGGACCTCCAGTTGATCGCCGTCTTCCAAGCTTAAGGAAGCACAGGTGTCACTCCGAGCGATGGGACGTCCTTCGAAGACAAACTGAACCATCCATGGCAGCAGCTCCTTCCGAGCGCACCAGACATCCATCAAACCGTCCAGGGTCCGGTGCTCTGCCAATGTGAACCACAGCTCCGAGCCCTCGTAGAGGGCGCAGATTGTTAAGTCGCACTTGTGATTGATCACTTCGAGGCCTGGCTTCGCCTTTCGGATAGCGTCCCAGCCGCGCACAGAATCCACCCGGGATGCAAGACCGAGGCACCCCACTGCAGTCAAGGTCTTGAGAGAAGGACACCTTCGGACGGTGTCCACCATGGCAGCTGCGGAAATCTTCTTGCATCCGGAAACATCGATTGTCTCCAGATTCGAGCACCTCCGGCTCACCGCACCAAGGGCTGCATCAGATACCTCTCTCAGAACAGCCGATCTCTGCGCCGTCAAGCATCTCAACATGTCGGCTTGCCAGCTCGTGTTGAGCTCCGTCAGCTTGATGGCCAAGGTGACATCTACCCAACCCAGTGCGAAAATCTCGGCCACCGATGGTCCCATTGTTGTTAAAGCGGATTGGCTGGCTTGATCGCTGAGACACGCGCATATACACACATCTTCACAAGGAGGCAGGGGCCCAAAGCTCCAGAGCACCCTAGAAACCCAAATGCACATCCTGTTCAAATTGCATCCTCGGCTTTCGAGCCAAGGGCGCCTTCGGACCATGCTCTCAGGAAGTGCTTCACCTCATGGAGCCACGCCTCCTGGCTGCATCGCTGTGGAGTTTCAATCTTGTCACATGGATGCTACATTTTTCTACGCGTACCGTCCTCTGCCCGGCCGATGCCAAGTTGGTTCATCAGGCAGCGACCTCGCACTTCACAAGTCGGAGCGTGCGGGGTCCGAGCTTTCCTTGCTCCCACACGCCTCCAATCTTGCCGAAGTTGTCCACACCGAAACGCTGGATGCTCTGTGCATATGCCTCCTGTCAAGCTTTGCCCATGCTCCGAATTTGCAGGTCGGAATTTGACAAGCTCAGATTCGCTGCTGACATCGACCCCAGAGTCCTTACACAGTGTTCGAGGCTCCTAGCTTCATGTCACTCTTCCAGACACATCGCCGTAGAGTTCGCGTTCCTGTCCTTCTCAACCACGGGAATTCTGGACCTCTCCTGGGCAGACACCAGTAGCTTCAAGCCTCAGGCCTATGGTCGCGAGGACCCCAGCCAGCTCAGATTGAGTCTACGTGCATCTGGGGGGTTGATGCGGACAGGCTCGGAAGAATCTGCGGAAGGCCGAGGCTGCAGCAAGCCACACACCGTGTGCCAAACAAGGCCCGGAACTCTGCACCAAATGAACTGGATGCAAAACAGGCTTCTCAGTCTCCAAGGAAAACTGGGAGAAACATAGCAGTAGCAATACCGCTGGAACAATGCATACAGTTGCTGAGGCATCCACCTTGGAAATAGGCAGCATGGGAAGTGGACCCTCCTGGATTGAATGCATGAGTCTGCCGGTGATTTGGGGGTTCAGAGCTGGCTGTCTAGCAACTCCGACACACGGCTGCTCTCTGCTGCTCTCCTCCCCGAAAACCTCCGCCACAAGAGACCTGGCTGCAGCGACCCATTTCGGGAGGCTGTGGGTCTGGAAGGTGGAGACCTGCGCAGCGCGCACCCCTGCACCCAAAACTTGACGACTGGGCGTGGTTTAGGGCTCAAGGGCTTTTAGGTTGGGGTTTTGGTTCCGGGAGCTGCCCTGAACCCAACACGAGGAGACGAGGGAAAGAGAGAGAGAGGGAGAGAGATTCTGACAGAGAGAGAGAGAGAGAGCTAGCGAATACCTTATGGGGGCATATGGCATTTTCAACCATCCAGTGTCTCACCGTTAGCACATGAGGCTTGGAGGCTCGATGAGGTTTGAGGGCTTTCTTTGCAGGGAGAGTCTTGCAAAGCGCGGTCGTCGAAAGCCGGCTCCATCCAGGCCTCAAGCCCTATAAACTGCTAAATCCTAAACTCCTAGACCCTAAACTCCTGAATCCTAAACCCGAAACCCCTCAGCACAAAAAGAATGTGCACCCTGACCGACGATGCTCCTGCAGAATAGTAGATTATGACATGTTACTGTTGATGATATGAGTCCTGTATTACCTTAAGGACCCTAAGCTGTAGGAACTATGGTATATTCCTTATTATGGGTAATGCCGGATTTATCGTCAGCCGTATGACCCCTTAATTATATAGGGAATAACGGTATAACATCATGGTATAACATCAACAGAGTAGGTTATTGGAGCCACAGGTAGGGCAAGATGTAAGGTGTTAGCAGCCCAACGCCCTAAGCCTCACGACCCGAAAATCTGCAGACCCTCAACCCTAAACAATCCAGGTGAGGGTGTCCACGCTCGGGGTGCGGGCTGGACGCCGCTCTACGACTTTTCCGAAGAGCAGAAGGGATTGAGGCTCCTTGCACATTCTCAGTAGTACCTTTGTTTGGTTACCTTATATTGGAAAATATTATTAAATCGCTGAAACCTTCAAGCTCAAATCTGCACGAGGCGTTTGCTGTCAAAAAATAATGTAATTAGGGTAGTTACCCGACAGCTCCGTTGTAGGGTCCAGCTATTGCTACTAGGGCAATAGAGGGCTCCTCACAGTATCTACCATAGAGGTACTTGGACTCTTAGGAAAGTTGGAGCTTTTTTGGTTTTAGCGTTGAGGCTTCAAGTTTAGGATGGGACCCAGGGTTTCGGGCTTTCCAGGGTTAAGGGTCAGGGTTTGCGAGGGGTGGCATAGGCTTTCACAGCGGTTTGCAGCTGCCTGCACTCCCATAGCTCTCAAAGCGCGGCCAGTGTGCCGTGGCCCCAGATGTGGCACCGGCACATCGAAAGATCGCCCAACGGCAGCGCCTGAGGCGAGCCTTAGAAGCGCAATGCCAGTGTGGGAGAAATTTTCGATGTTGGTGAGGGGCATCCCAGGGCTTGCCCTGCTTCCAAAAGACCAAGTCAGCTGGGCACTGGAAGGACGTGTGTATCTCTACTTTCGAAAGGATGTGTATCCACCGGCCAATCTGCCTAAAGCTGAACGATCGACAAGAGGACACGCAGGATCCCAAAGCACTCAACCTAGACCAAGACCGAGACTGCGAGCCATGGCATCAACATTGCCCGCTCTATCTCTACAAGGCTAAGCTAGCTCTGTGCACCTCATGACAGAATGTCTCTGCCAAGCCTTGCCAGCGATGCGGCCAGCGGCTGCAGGGTTTGCTGATCGAAATCTCCTGGTGAAGAAGCGAGCAAACGATCTTCCGATTGCAGCTCACGAGTGGATGTGAGAATCTCGACTGCAAATGTCCCGCTCCTGTCGCATCATCATTGGGACCGAACCAACACCTATCCTCAATTTTTTCCATGTGTTACACCGTTTGCTGCACGGATTCAAGCTTCTTCTACAGAGCACACATCCAAGCCGAAACCATGTTTCTTCCAGCCGCCAGATCAGTGGCCCCGGCCCGTGCTCAGCCATCAGCCCAGCCCAAAGAAGAGAAGCGAAACATGCTCGCCCTGAACCCTGAAAATCGCAAACTCCTCAAGTCGAGTCTTGCGACGCCTCGCGTCTGCAGGGGGCCGAGGATGCCAATACAGTCGATCAGCTGTGACCTGCAGAAGTCCGGTAAGGTCGACAACTGCATCCACATAAAATCGAATATCATATCACTGGCAGCCATCCTGGTCAATCCTGCAAGGAAAAACTGAAGAGGGTATGGTAACAAATCGGGGGTAACCCAGCCCAAGCCTCCCTGTATCTTCGAGGTCGCTGAGGCGCCCTTCCGCCCGCCCTGCCAACTCCTCCACCTGCATGCGTTTGCCTGGGGCTGCTGCCATCATGTTCCATAACGATGCGTCTCAGGAAGCTGGAAGGCTGTTTCAACTCACGCATACAGCAGGAAATGAGATGTCCGCACGTGGAAAAGGTCTGTTAGCATACCGACGAGTATCAGGATGCCGATGATGGTCATCACCAGGATGCTGCGTCTGATTCTGACTCGGCTTGTGGTCATTATGATTGTGTCGCTCTCCTAAGCTGCTTTCTATGACTTGTCAGCAAGAAAAAATAATTGGAATAAAATTAGAAACATCCAGGAGGTTCCTTGGCAGAATTACGAAGTAGATCAGAATCCAAATCAGACAAAGCCACGAAACGAGTCGCAAGAAAACCTATAACCAAAGCACGGCAGTCAAAGCTTGAGTGGGGGCGATGGTGGTGGTGGGGTGGGTGTGCGAGTGAGTGAGTGTGAGTGAGTGAGAGTGTGAGTGTGAGTGTGAGAATGACTGTGAGTGTGAGTGTGAGTGAGAGTGAGTGAGCAAGTGAGTGAGCGAGTGAGTGAGTGGGAAAGTGAGTGAGTGAGTGAGTGAGTGTGTGTGTGTGAGAGAGAGAGAGAGAGAGAGAGAGAGAGAGAGAGTGAGTGAGTGAGAGAGTGAGTGAGTGAGTGAG